TCGAATCAAATGTCAAAGTCTCAGAATCTTGTAAATTTTCTTAAATCCCATTTTTTTTTAAAAAGATTTCTATTAGTAGGTACATACTACGGAGTGTCAAATTGTTTTCTTGCTGCGTAGTCTCCAAGAATTTTTCCTTCATTGAACACTGTAGTTTTTTACTGAATTTAAAAAATCCGTAATTTTTTTGTGATTTGTACCGGGAAAACCCGGGAATTTCAAAATGAAAAATCACTGGCTACTCTGCAATAGTTGCAAAGGCTTCGTATCCATATTCCATATTCTTTAAGCCCAATCCTGAAGACCAGGGGTTGAAACAGTTGACGTTTTTGACTACACTCGCTTCGTTGTCGTGCGCGACAGTCTTTTTGTAATCCTTCTCTCATGCTCTACTGTCATCTCTCTTACACAACACAAACGGTAGAACAACATTCGAGCAAAAAGAAAATTATCAAATAACTATCATATGACATGTGTGATTTCGTTCTAATTCTTCAATTTGGCGTAAATTAAACCATTTCTGATCAAAAATGTTATTACACTGAAACCTCCATTTACGAACCAAAACGGGGGTTAGTAAATCGAATTAGTGCGTAAAAAAAACCTCGTTATTTGGGATTAACTTCGTAAAAAGAAAACTCGTTATTTGGGATTTACTTCGTAAAAAGAGGTTTTTGAAAATATTGTCAAATACCCCACAATATGGGTATTTTTGGAATCAGGGTGACGTGTAGGGCCCGGAAATCGATGTCTAACGCCATTTTGAAATACAATATGGCGGCTTCCGGTAACATAAAAACTTGGAAATTCTGTCAAATACCCCACAATATGGGTATTTTTGGAATCTAAGTGACGTGTAGGGACCAGAAATCGATGTGTGACGCCATTTTGAAGTCCAAGATGGTGGCTTCCGGTTACAGAAAAACATGGAGAGTCTGTCAAATACCCCACAATATGGGTATTTTTGGAACCGGAGTGACGTGTAAGAACCGGAAATTTATGTCTGACGCCATTTTTAAATCCAAGATGGTGGCTTCCGGTAACATAAAAACAGAAAAATAATGTTAAATAACCCACAATATGGGTACCTTAAGAATCGGGATGACGTGGTGGTATTTGCCAATTTTTCTGTAATCGGAAGCCGCCATCTTGGATTTCGAAATGGCGTCAGACATAAATTTCCGATTCTTACACGTCACTGCAATTCTAAAAATACCTATATTGTGGGGTATATGACAGAATTTCCAAGCTTTTCTGTTACCGGAAGCCGCTATCTTGGATTTCAAAATGGAGTCAGACATTGATTTCCGGTCCCTAAACGTCAATCCGATTTAAAAAATACCCATATTGTGGGGTATTTGGCAGAAGTTCCAAGTTTTTATGTAACCGGAAGTCGCCATCTTGGATTTCAAAATGGCGTCAGACATCGAAATTCGGTCCCTACACGTCACTCCGATTCCAAAAATACTCATATTGTGGGGTATTTGGCAGAATTTCCAAGTTTTTATGTAACCGGAAGTCACCATCTTGGATTAAAAAATGGCGTCAGACATTGATTTCCGGTCGCTACACGTAACTCCGATTCCAAAAATACCCATATTGTGGTGTATTTGGCAGAATTTCGAAGTTATTATGTCACCGGAAGCCGCCATCTTGGATTTTAAAATGGCGTCAGACATCGATTTCCGGTCCCTACACGTCACTCCGATTCCAAAAATACCCATATTGCGGGGTATTTGGCAGAATTTCCAAGTTATTATGTTGCCGGAAGCCACCATATTGGATTCCAAAATGTCGTCAGATATTGATTTCCGGTCCCTACACGTCACCCTGATTCAAAAAATACCCATATTGTGGGATTTATGACAGAATTTCCAAGTTTTTATGTAACCGGAAGCCACCATCTTGGATTTCAAAATGGCGTCAGATATAGATTTCTGGTCCCTGCACATCACCCTGATTCCAAAAATACCCATATTGTGGGGGTATTTGGCAGAATTTCCAAGTTTTTCTGTAACCGGAAGTCGCCATCTTGGAATTCAAAATGGTGTCAGACATTGATTTTTGGTCCCTACACGTCACTCCGATTCCAAAAATACCCATATTGTGGTATTTGACAGAATTTCCAGGTTTTTATGCAACCGGAAGCCGCCATCTTGGATTTCAAAATGGCGTCAGACATCGATATCCGGTCCCTTCACGTCAGTCCGATTCCAAAAATACCCATATTGTGGGGTATTTGGCAGAATTTCAAAGTTTTTCTGTAACCGGAAGCCGCCATCTTGGATTTCGAAATGGCGTCAGAAATCGATATCCGGTCCCTACACGACACTCCGATTCCAACAATACCCATATTGTGAGGTATTTCACAGTATATCCCAGTTTCCCAAAATCACAAAAAAAAACTCGTTATTTGGAATTTACTTCGTAAAAAGAAAACTCGTTACTTGGGATTTGCTTCGTAAAAAAAACCTCGTTATTTGGGATTTACTTCGTAAAAAAAGACTTCGTAAACGGAGGTTTCAGTGTACTAGGACATCGTTGCTTGCTATTTTCAAAATTTACACTAGCACAACATCAGCAGCTCTTATATGGTGTTCCACATCAAATTGCATTACGGATAAAACGCTGTAGAGAATTACCCATTGTGTATTTTCTCTTTAAAATTTGGGTAGAAGTAGTTTACAGTGTATTGTTTACATTGCATTTTTATCGCTGTCAGTTTTTCGAAAGTTGGAAAAATGGTATCAACCGAAAAGCAACGTCGCGAATTGATTTTGCGCAAGCACATGGAAAATCCTCCTCAACTCTCTCATCGGGACATTGGAAAACAACTCGGAATCGGCCAGTCAACGGTGAGTCGTTACTACGAAACTCTGAGCATCGAACGGAAGGAGAAATGCGGTCAGAATGGATGTTCTATTAGTGTTCAGGATCACAAACGTGTCGTGAAAGCGTTTAAGCGGAATCCTAATGTTTAAATCTGTCCAAGTCTTTCGTTCAGAGAGCCAAGGACCGGGATTGACTTACGTATGACTTAAGTGCAGAAGGCTCCAAATCGTGGCGAACGGCAAAATACGGTGGAAAAGTCACGGGCCCGGAAACTGTACACCCAGATGCTGACGAAGCCTCATTTTCTCATCATGGATGATGAGACTTACGTCCAGGTGGAATACCAGCAGCTTCCGGGGCTACTGTTCTTGACCGCCCAGCACAAGTTTAAGTTCCGGAGGAAGTAAGGAAGCAGAAACTTTCAAAGTTTACCAAGAAATACATGATTTAGCAAGCGATCTGGTTATGTGGAAAACGGAGTGCGCCGTTCGTGACTACCGGGACTGTAAACGGGAAGATCTACCTCAAGAAGTGTCTACAGAAGCGTCTGCTTCCTCTGTTGAAGCAACACGAGGCGCTACGATCTTCTGGCCGGATCTAGCTTCGTGTCACTATTAAAATGTTGTCCTGGAGTGGTACGAAGTCAACGGGGTCACTTTCGTACCCAATGACATGGACCTCCCCCACCCAACGCATCGGAACTAAGGCCCATCGACAAATACTGGGCTATTATGAAGCAGGCACTACGGAAGCATCCGAAGGAGATCAAATCTGAGGAAGACATGAAGAAAAGGTGGGTTTCCGTACAGAAGAAGCTGCAGCCAGATGTCCCGACGGTCTTCGGCGACAGTGTCGTATGACAGAGCCAATGTCGGAAGGCAGTCGATTATCATAGAAAATGCGTCGACTACCGTGACCGCTTCCAAGCCTCCGTAAGACTTATTTATCTGGGAAAATCATCGATTCCTCTTTGAAGTACTATGACTCCGTCCTCAAATTCATCTAGACTTGCCAGGACTTCCAGTCGTAGTTCGATGTGTCGTTCGTTGTCGAGTGTCCCAGGATACGCTCTAAAATTTCCCAGTTCAATTTTCATGTTCCCAAAAATGGAACAATTTTTTGCTAAACTTTGAACAGTATACATCTCGACTACCCCTCTAAAACTGTCTACACATGTTTGCGTGGTTCATGGCTTGCATGGACTTTACTGATAAAATAACGAAAGATACTGACGTAAATGCGTATATAATCCTAGGTTCACGCAGCCGGTATCTGAATGGTACTTTTCCGTAATTATTTGCATTTGCAATGTTCCATTCCATTTGCTTCACTTATCACAAAATTCCAAACATTGCGTTGTGAGTCAGTCCTTTTTTTTTCAACTCACTCCTTCACTTCTAGTATGTCCCAAGTGAAGCTCCCTGTTGTACAAGATCACTGACAGACTGACACTCACTGTTAAAATTTAACGCAGTTATCCTTGGATTTTTCCTTCACCAATACACTGATTTGAACACGTTTTACACTCTTCTAATTGCGCTTAAACGTCTAGGAATATGACAATCGTTCTTGAACACATATTCAATTGACTTATCCTCATAACCCATTAAAAAACAAACTAACCATATTTTATTGGACCGTGCCTCCTTAAATACCAGGCTGCTTCGATAAAGTTCGGAAAATTGCACGTGCCCATTACGTTATCACAAAGATGACCGATCGTGCCTTGTCACCGTCACCGTCTGTCCGTCCCGAACTCAACCCGAGGAAAATCGATATTAGCTATCATCGACACAGAAACTGACCATCTGATTTGTGGGTCGTTTTTGTTCAAAGGTAGGGATTAACCATAAACGGCCTCCTTTTTTTTCGCTTCCTGGTATCTATCAGACTGTCTAAATACATTTAATTGAATAGATATGGCGGCACGAACCCGTCGGATATCAAGTGCGTTGGCGATTTTGATAAACTCGATAAAGATAAAAACAAGCATCGATAATGGGATCACACAAAAAAAAAATCCATTTGTAAACACGCGACTGAGGGTTGTTGTTGCCAAGAGTGTGACGCCAGCAAGCGTTCGCGGAAAGTGGGAAGCCTAAAGCCGTTAAGATCCTATTTTGGCGAACTCATTTCGAAGGAATGTTTGTTTACCACAAGAATGATGATTCTGTTTTTGTACTTTTATATGCAATCACGATGAATAATACATATTTTGTTTACGACCGTTTAGGGTAGGTCCTTCGGAAACAAAGCGCTCATCCGGATTAGGGGGCCTCGTCGGACAAATATTTTGCCTCCTGATACAGAAGCTTATCGCGTAGATTCTCACAGGCCGGACTGGTATCTTGTCTTTCCGCTGGGCAGCTTAGGATCGTTTTGCGCCACATACAGTATCCAAACTCGGCCGACGATGGGTTGCATTTGGAGCTGGAATCGGTCGTCGGAGCTTTCGTTTCCTCCAGACAGGCGTCGATAAATTCCTTGATTTGACCGTCTTTGAAGACATCTTGCGCGTAGTACTGCGATACGAAGGGGGCCAAGACGTCCGATCCGAGCAGATTTCCACTATCGTCGGTGATGTTCTCCTTCCGAGCTACGCAGTCAGACGCACAGATGAATTGCTCTTTGATTTTGGTGAGTCTGTCGCAGGAGAACATATCGACTGGGTCCACCACTGGGAAAATGGGAGTCAATTAATTCACTTTTATATCTTTCAAAGAAAATCACTACTTACTTCTACCGGACTTGGTTTTCGCTGTACTGAGCAGTGCATTCTCCACGTAGCACACGATTTGAGTTTGCTGGAGTTTATTGAAATTTTCCTCGTTCAGATAATCACAACAGGTGTAGTGTAGTTGGTTTTCGTCTTTGGCGGTCGTCTTCGTCCATGCTGGGCGGCCTTGGAGAACCATCAGGTCTTCTAATAGGAGATCATCTGTGAAATAAATGAAATTTTAGCAACAGTTAGAAATTGGTTGGAATTTTGAATTTTCTCACTAAAATATGGATCTTGGAAATTGTAACTAAATGTAGCTCCGACCAACAGCATTACAATCGCCACCAGACGTATCATGGTTCCTGTCGGGGTGATGCACTGGTTCAAAATATGCATTGGAGCAGAATCTACTGGGCAATATATAGCCCATACTTGCCAGTAAGATGGCACCGTAAAAGAAGAAAGTAATTCTTGGGGCTTAAGTTGGCTTGTATTATGCGAAAAGAACTGGTTCTGATGCAGTGCAGCAAAAATAGCCGGCATGCAATAAATGACAGCGAGATTACCGTGGAATTGTGTTCATCAATAAGAATCAGACGGTCTACAGTGCATATTGCATTTAAATTATGGTATATATATGTTTAAATTTCGTTCAGCAGTGTCGTCCAAAAGAGGCATACATTCATTCCATAGCAAAACGATATAGTGGTTCGCAGAATTTCGTAAAAATTGGTAGTTCTGTTCCTTATCGCTAAATATTGGAAACGTATTCTTTTATTTTGTCATTAGGGTGACCATTTCTATGTTAGAGTGGTACAAAAAATCGATTTTTTCAAAAATTATTTTTTCTCAAAATATAATGATATTTAAAAAATGGGATTTTGTATTCAAAATACTTAATTGTATTTGTTTTTTATGGTTTTCATGGTTTGTAAACAGAGGGCGCTATTTGTTTTTATATTTTTCCTTGAAAATTTAGGTTTTTTACACAACATATAAAAAAATCAGCGATGGGTCGTTTTTTTTTCGTTTTTGAGTTATATTTTTTTGAATTTATCTAGTTTTGGGGTTTCGCTTAATACTCTATTTTATCTTATATTCATTTCGTCAAGCCTACGTAACATGATTATTACAATGTTTACTTACATACTATGCATTCATTCTATTCTGTTTTAGCTTATTTTTTATTAGCTGCTTGGACATAGTGATGTCAATAGTTCCGCAATGCAAATTATACAGGCGCATCATTCCATTGATTGGGCTATTTTTTGCATAGTTTGTTCTGTAAGATTTTTCCGAAAATAAATTCCGTGTTCTAAGATATCGACAAGGTGTGCCAAAGTTTAATTGTGCGAGAATTTCTGCCGAATCTATGCGCATTGAAATAATGTCGTTGATGAAGAAAAGTATTGCAAATTGGTGGCTCTCCTTAAGTGTTTGTATATTGATGAGCATGCAGCGCGCTTCATAAGATGCTAATGGAAATGCAGTCCAATTCAATTTACGTAAAGCATATAAAAGGAATTGTTTTTGAAAAGATTCTATGCGTTCTTCGTGTATGGAAATGTATGGATTCCATACTAGGTGGCAGTATTCCAGAATTGGCCTTACATATGTGGTATATAATAGCTTAATTGTGTATGGGTCTTCGAAATTATGACTGAACCTTTTAATGGGGCCTAGCATTCTGTTTGCTTTACTAATGATAGTATTATAATGTTCTATAAAAGTTAGTTTGGAGTCTAGGATTACACCTAGATTTATTACAATTTTGCATTTTTCTACTATTTGGTTGCGCAATGATATTTCAATATGATGTGTTTCAATTTTTCTGCTAAATGCTATTGCGGTACATTTTTGACGTAGGACTACGTCTTTCGGGAAGATGGGGGTACAATTTATGTAAAAAGAAAAATTAAATTATGAAAGATTTTGAACGTTAATAACTTAGCTGCCCCTGGACCAATTTCAATTATTTTATCACCAATCGATCAGAAACATTTCCACGCATCGATAACCTGACCTGACTGTTGATTTTCAAATTGAAACTTGGTGGTAAATGTCATATTGAAAAGGTGGTAAATGTCAAGCATTGTCCAAAAGCTTCGAAATAACTAACAAATCCACCAATTACGTACATGCATGTGCTGCTTCTCCAACACAGTCATCAAAGAATGGTTCCTAGATGAAACAAGTCGAAGTGACATTCGCCTCCGATCTTCGGGCGTGTACGAATAGGGAGGATGCAATTGCGGAAGATATTGTTGCCAATTCAGAACCACACGTCCCCAACGACCACACAAAATGCTCTGTTTTTTTCCTTAGATTTGTTTTCCGTGCTGACGCTGAGCACCAATGCTGCCCACACCTGGACCCTAAGTATCGACCCATCAACTCATGAACCGGGAACCAACGGCTTTACTTCCCTTCCCCGAAGGAAGGCATGATCAGAGATGTTATGCTTCATAACTTCCCAGCAGCGCCGACTGGGATTGAACCCAGGCCTGCTGGGACGCTTACCACTACACCACGGGCGCCGCTGCGCTCCAATTTTGTAATCTTGTAACTAAACTTGGAAGCAGGGGATACTCTATATAAATTCTATTCGAACTCTTTTCTTAAATGATGTAACTCTACTGTCTGTATCCCGGTAAAAAGGCTCAGTAGCAAGAAACCTCTCGAGCTGTGTCTCAAGGTCGGCTTACTACTGGGTAATCTGGAGGGGCTTCGCGATCTTAACGTGCAGTACTGTCACCTGACTAAAAGCTATGGAAAGTTTAAATGACACAGTAATCAAAGGGTGTATACTATTATTTATTAATAAAAACTATAGCAGGTGTGGATTGGATTTCTAATAGTTCTATTGAATTTTATGGATGTACAGTGGGTTTTTGGGGGTTTGACGTACCGGTACTGAACTGCTGCCGTTGATTCTGCTCTGCCGAAGACTACTCTGCCGATGTGCGAGCGCTCGTCGATGATCCTACGTACGACGAGCTTGACGTCGGGCGAATCAAGCCTGACAGGGTGGTGATGTTGGAACAACAGATCGACTTAACTCGATGGCGATCTGCGGTCTCCTGGCGTCTACCCTCGTTGACGAGAATCACCAGAGTCCAGGCAAGGCCGGAGTGACTCTGCTGAGAGGGGTCCTCTTTAGCGTTTAGAGCCGCCTTGGCCCGAGGAATGCGACGATTTTGACCTTGCAATGCCAAATCGAAATGATGTCCTTTATTGTTAGGATTAATAGCCACTAAGGACCAATAATCCGACTCGTGTGCTTCCTGACCGACTTAGTCGGTTGGTTCACAAAATGACGCTGTACCGAATGGTACCACAAAAAGGTCCTGTGAGGGCAAAGGGGGTTTATTTTAATTAATTATCGTACTAGTCTACGGTCATTCGATTAATGTTAGCTATCCGTAATTAATTAGCCAAGCCGTATTACCTGATTGAACAGATAGGTACTCCCGCGATTCACCACTCACTTTTATTACTTTGCGGACACTTGGTTTTAACGGTCCGAAGCACACGAACGCCAGATACTGATTAAGGAATGGCGGTTTTCCTTCGCGCTTTTTCCATCCCATTGCTCTTCTCGTGAGACGTTATTTTCCACCCATTTTGAATTCGTAGTTTCGCCCGAATGTTGTTGTACCCACTGGTGGAATACTCATACCCACTGTACTGTTGTACGGTTTTATATAATTTTCAAATTTAAAAACAATTAATCCTACTAACAAATTAACATTTTTTTCACAACGACTACTAACCCTACTAATCCAACACCAAATAACTTTAAGAGACGTGACGGTACATTTAACAACTATGCACAAATTAAAAATCTAACGTGTTTTGTAACAAACGGTTACAATGAACTTGGTGGCCCTGAAAAGGGCCGTTTTGTTACGTTGGTGATAAGTTTTAACCTCCGAAACCGTACAGAGTGCGTCCCTGTCGCTTCAGAGCGTATACGACATCCATGGCCGTGACAGTTTTGCGCTTGGCGTGTTCAGTGTAGGTGACGGCATCACGGATCATATTTTCTAGGAACACCTTCAGCACACCTCGGGTTTCTTCGTAGATCAGACCGGAGATACGCTTAACACCCCCACTTCGCGATTCAAAAAGTTTTGGAATGCAAGAAATAATAGCAATTCCACGATAATTTCGAATGTCTGATTTTGCACCTGATTTGAAAATAGGTACCAAATAAGATGATTTCCAAATTTCAGGGAATTTTCCATTTTTCAGAGACGTGTTGAAAAGAAGCTCTAGAGGAAATGCGAGTTCTTCAGAAAGGTTTTTCAAAAATATGGGTGCGATGCCGTCAGGTCCAGACCCTTTCAAGGCGTTTAAGTTTTTTAGTGCATTGAGGACTTCATGTTGAGAAAGTTGGTTGACAGAGATGTTTTTAGAAATTTCAGGAATGAATGCAAAGAAATCGCGGTCACGATCTTCTTCGGAAAATGTGGTGTATACTTCTTGGAAGAAATTTGCAAAGAGATTGCAAATTTCAGAACAATTCTCACCTACATTCATTCGCGAAGGAAAATTGCTACTTTTTTAATTTCGTGTTCACATAATTAAAAAAAAATCTTGGTGGTGACAGTGTTCGTTTGTTTATCTAGTGGTTCAGTTTTCAAGCTTGAGTATTTGACTACACACAAATGGCTTCCACAGGTACGTTTTTTTTTAACTTTACTGCATTTTTTGTGAAAGTTATGTGATGAAACATTTTTGAATAAATTTTTATTCCTTTAGTTGAAATAGAAAAACGACATCTGTTTTCAATATGGAAAGCAGCAGGAAGATATTTACCAACCAAAAATTACAAGGTGTTCAAAGAGGTGCTCAAATATTATTTGATTGATTCCAACATTATGCCGGAAGTTGCTGTGGAGGTTGCAAAGTACACAAAAGTTACTTGTGATGCTTTTAAAATACTGTGGCTTAAATATAACCGTTCAGCATGCAAGGTGTTGCATAACCATGTTGAATTTTTCGATAAACCGTTTAAGCTTCCTGCAAGTATCCTGAACATGCTTCCTTCATCATCAACAAGTGCCCAAATCGGTCGTAAACCAATTCCTTTCAACAAATGCAGTGAATCAACAAAGAGAAGAAAAACAGTGGCCATTCGTGAAAATCATCCAGTGAAAGAACTTGTGTTGTGTTTGCAACGCAAATAAAGCTTCGCGAATCAGGACAAAAACATGCTGCTGACATTCTTAAAGAGGCTACGCAGACAAGTCCATCGCGGGCAAGAAGGATTGCTAAATCATGGGAAAAATCATCAAATCATCCATTGTATGAGTACAGTGAAGCTAAAGCTTTGGCAGTTAATAGATGCAAAGTTATCTTAGGCACAGTACATAAAAATTCAATGGGGAGCGAAAGATCTAAACGC